CGCCGCCTTCGCCGCCTCCCGCCAGCATCTCCGCTCCGCCATGTTCACCTCCGGCCCACTCACCGAGGAGTCGCTTCCCGGGTGCAGCCTCCGTCACCCGCCCGCCGTCGGACCCCGCCAGGGAGGGAAGATGAGGAGAAGGCGGCCGCAGGCCTAGCCCGGTCCGGGTCTCGAGGAGTAACGAAGCAGTTGCTTCCTCGTAGCACGACTCAGTCCTTGCCCGGCGATCGCCGGGGCTCAAAAACCTAGGTGAAGGCAGCAAGGGAAGCGACCGATGGGAGGGACGGGTCGGTGAGGTCGGAGGTCAATGCGGGGCATCACGGGAAGGCGGCAGCCGGGTGGAGGCGCTCGCCGGGGCCACCTGCGGCTGCGGTGCGGCCTCCGGCGGAGGGATCTGAACGAAGGTGTTGTGTGATTGGCTGCTCTGTGGTCCCGGTACCCATCCCTGGTGCTTCCGCGCGGTAGCGAACCAGGTGCAACTTCTGGGGACAGGCCGTGGGCAGAGAGCCGTGTGAGTTTACGCTTAGCTGAACCTCATCTTGTACGTTTTGAAAACTTAGAAATCTGTGGCCTCTCTTTCGTCTTGAAGTGCAGCCTCCTGGCTGCTCGGTTCTCGTCTTGACATCTCTGCAGGCGAAAAAGAAGAGCCGTTGGCCTCTAGCAGATGAAGGTTGTGGCGGTGTCAGCAGCTTTGGGGGCACCTCCTAACTCAGAAACGAGGGAAAAGCGAACGCTGTGAGGTTTTAATGAACCAGATAAAATAAGTTCTGTAAGTCGAGTATATACCCTTAAGCATGACTTCGCGCCATCTGGACCATTGAGTAAGAACGATGGCAGACCTGGTACACGTGGAACGGTCTCTGTACCCTTACTAGAGGGGCCAGGTACATTCTTTTGATTAGACTGCCCTTAGCCAGCTCTACCAAGACTGTTTATCACCAAAGAAAGTGTCCTGGAGTGAGGTAATTTATATGGATGAGATAGAAATATACTCCAGATGGAGGAAGGAGTCATGTTATATTTCCAGAAAATCAGATCATTGTGAAGATATTTGCGACTTATATCGCAGGAACTCTTGGAAACTGAAAAGAAAAAGACCAAAATCCGAAGGGAAAAATAGGGAAGGACACGGACAGATGATTCTCAGAGAAAAAGAAGAAAGAAAATAGCAGTGGTCCTTAAGCATAAAAGAATGCTTAACTTCACTTGCAGTGGAACTACACATTGAAATTACGTGTCCTGGTGGGAAGGCAAAAGTGATTCAAGGCCTATGCAGTACCAAAATTATATGCGCATTTATCTTTATACTTCATAATTCCACTTCTAACCCTTACTCTGAAGATATACCTCCACAAATGGAAACAACATGTACACAAAATTATTCATTGCAGAGCTACTTGTCATGACAAAAGTTTGGAAATAACCCATAGTGTTCATTAATAGAGAATTCGCTGGATGTGATATATCCACACAATGGAATACAGTGCAGCCATAAAAATAAGAAAATAGTTATGCGTTACTTGGGAATGAGTCCCAGGTTAAATTAAGTGAATAAAAGAAGGTACAGAAATATATAAAATACAATTGTATTCTTTATGTGTATATATATATATATATGCTTATGGGGGGGGGATTGGCAGGATATCCTAGAAACTTAGTAAATAGTCACCTATAGAGGATGGTGAGAAGGGTGGAGAAGATAGAGATAGAAGTAAGACTTCTCTGACTTCGAACTTTTAAAGTTTTACGTAGCCAAAAGGTAAATAAAAAAGGAAACAAAGTAAACCCCAAAGTTGAAAACAAATTGAAACAACTTAACTCTGAGTCAAATTGGTATGTAACTAAGATACACAAAGGAAACAATGATTTCCTAGAACTTTTGAACACAGTACTCTGGTAGTATATCAGTGGTGGGATGTATCCTATGAATGAAAAAATGCAAAAGAATCTTCAGCTTCACTCGGTGATTTATAATTAATGGTAATAGTATTGCTGTGGTTTTGAAACTATATTATAGGATAACACAAGTATTTTAATATTATTTACAAAGACTGTGTAAGAGAAAATGAGATAGCTGTTCAAGAAAAAATCTAACATTAAATTGGAAATATCAATTTGAACACATGATTTTAAAAATAAATGTTATAGTTCTGTGCACTGACAGGGCATAGAAGCACTAGGGTGACCAATTGTCCCCATTTGCCAGGGACTGATGGAATTTCTCAGGATGCTGGACTTTCAGGTTAAAACAGGAACAGTTCCCAGCAAACCAAGATGGCTAGTTATCCTACATTAACAATGAGTAACCTAGCATCCAGATTTGGGTTTCTTTCTTTTTTTTTTTTTTAAAAAAAATGACTGGTAAGGGGATCTTAACCGTTGGCTTGGTGTTGTCAGCAGCATGTTCTCCCAAGTGAGCAACTGGCCATCCCTATATAGGATCTGAACCTGTGGCCTTGGTGTTAGCAGCACCACACTCTCCCGAGGGAGCCACAGGCTGGCCCTCAGATTTGAGTTTCTAAATTTCATTTCCCACTGAAAAGATCCAGAGTTCATTGGAGAACTGGCTGATTCCAATTCTGGGGTAGGGAAAGTACAAGATGAGTCAGATATTTTGCTGTGCCTGAATGCAAAGTGCTTAGGCTAATGAGGCTGTGTCAAGAGGATTTAGAACAGACAAAACTAATCCATAGTGATAGATGTCAGATCAGAAGTTGGGTAGGGGGGAAAAAGAGGAGGAATTTACTGGAAAGGAAAATGAGGGAACTTTTGGGGGTAAAGAAAATGTTCTATAAACACAGTTACCCCAGTATAATATACATCTGTCAAAATTCATCAAACTATATCACTAAAATGGATGCATTTTACTGCATGTAAATTGTACCTCAATAAAATGTGGATATAAACCAAGATGAACAAAATGAGAAAAGCAAAGGCTCTTTATTGAAAGCTTCAGCAAGGAAGTTAGCCAACTTCATTTGTGTTTTGGCAGAGACTCAAAGGCAGGTAGAGGAATGGGAAAGCTTCATAGTGGAAAAAAGGGAAGCTACAGGTGTGCCCTGCTTGTGGGCTGCTGGCATAGGGACGGTGGAAGCAGCTAACTAGAAGCAGGCATCCTATGTGCTGGGCTAGAGGAGCATATTTGCTTTCTCTAGTTGGCCCTGAGTTGGAACAGGGGACAAAAATTAGGGAAGCTGTGAGTTTTTAATCAAGTTCTAGCCATTTTGAACTGATTGTTATAGAAGTTACTGTTTAGCTTCCTGGATTGTTACTAGAGATAGCAGTCTGAGTTTCTGGAAGTCTGACTTATAGGAGGTTGGCTTCCTGGGTTGGTTATTGTAGATAAGGGTTGGTTTCCTGGGTAGATTGTTGTAAGTTATTGGTCAGAATTCTTTTTTTTTTTCTTTTTTTGCTTCAAAACATTCATTCATAATTGAGATTTTGTTGGTTGTGTTGAGAATCATTACATAGACATTTCAATTTGTACACAATTCTTAGCATATGTACTAAAATTCTAAAAAGCCACGTATCACAATTTTTTTAAAAGGTTTTTTCCAGTGGCCTTCCAGCTTCAAATTTGGAGGCAAAATTTCCTTAAGAGGATATCAAGTACCAGTATCTCCAGATGTTGGTAAGCTGTTTCATAAGTCCCACCAATTCACAATTTAGTATATACACTACATACTCAAATTTTCAATCATTCACAACACATTAACAAAATTATTAGGAAAACTAAACTAACATGACCAAAGATGTTACAGAGTGCACAGAAATCTGACAGGGAGAGCAATGATTAAGAAGTGGTTTTCTTTAGGAAACAATTCTACTAAAAACAACATGGGAATAGAAGTAATTTTAAGTGTTCAAGACATTAAATGTACGACTGTGACTACACATTGCCATTTAGTATGCTTTGTATTACAGGATATAAAAACTACTGTTCTATGGAATGTTAAGCTGACACCCAAGACAGTCAAAGCCTCCCGTAATTCAATATTCTACTGTTTTCTGGTTGTATCAAAAATAAACAACCATCAAATAATTTCACCTTTAAAAAAAGGCATTTACACTTAAAAAATAGGATGAGTTGTAATTCCCTCCTTCTTAAAAATGTTTCTAGAATGATTAAAAAACTTGCATTTTGCAGTAGTTGATAAAAATATTCCTCTGGATTGTACAAGCATAACAGGGACCACTGATAAGACATGATATATGATATCAATCAGACTTGGCTCCTTTCCTTCATCGGAGGCTGGACTCTCCTCATTTTTAGTTTCTCCATTTTCTGCAGTTAAACCTTTAATTTCTTGGTTAGTCACTTCAGCCTGTTTTCCTTTTGCTTCCTTTTTCCATTTTGTTTGCACTTTTTTGGCTGAAGATTTATCCTTTGCTGCTGCCTTTTTGGGCTTCCTTTCCACTTTTGCAGGAGCAGGTTTAGCTGACAACCTCCCCCATCTCCTCTTGGGCTCTTCCTTTGCTGCCCCTTCATCTGAGCTGACCTTTCTCTTGGGCATGTTGGTGGTGGGGAGGGCGCTTGCCTGGTTCCTGCAGGCCGCAGTGTGCCAAGAGTCTTCGCGAAGCTGGGCTGCCTGGCCGCTGCCGCTCCTCCTGCCGCCGGAGCTGCTAGGACCTGTGGCAGGGGCGGTGGGAGAAAATTCTATTTTTTTATATATAGTCTGGCCATTGTCCATTTGTACATATATTCAGTCTCTCAAAAGTAAATTTTTTTTTTTTTTTAAAGATGACCGGTAAGGGGATCTTAACCCTTGACTTGGTGGTGTCAGCACCACGCTCACCCAGTGAGCAAACCGGCCATCCCTATATAGGATCCGAACCCGTGGCCTTGGTGTTGTCAGCACCGCACTCTCCCGAGTGAGCCACGGGGCCGGCCCTCAAAAGTAAATTTTAAAGACATAGGAATCAGCTTGGAGGATCTCCTATAGGCCAAATTTGGGGCAACTTTAGCATCAAAAAGAAAATGACTACGATTGCTTGAAAATACTGAATAAATGAAAATCTATGACTCCATAGCTATAGAAAACAGAAAAGTATAGGGGAGAAACTATTTTTTCATCATTGGAAGTGACTATTGCACCAATTAAATTTTGTTGTTAAAAGGAAGACAGCATTTGCCCTGCCTTTTTAGGAAAGAAATTGTGATTCATTCCCTAGTTGATGAGGGAAAAGCTCATTTACAATAGGATGCCACTAAAAAATGCAGGATAAATGATAGAATTTTAACCAGTATGTGAACCCCAATGGACTTTAAAACATTAAGATGAAAGATTGCTGGGAAATGGAATATTTGTGTGGTGCCACGGAATCACTCCATAGATCTCTAAATTGTAAAGAGAGCACACCTTTATAATAGAGCCATCTGGTGGTCACCATCTGAAACAAACCATCAAATTTAGAGTCAGTAATAGTGAAATACAGGAAAAAGGGTTGTAGTGCAAATCTAATAATACTAACAAAATTAATTCCAAAAAACTTCGTGAGACTGTAAGCAATAAATATTTATCGAACAGCTGAGTTAGCCCAACCACAGTATCTCAGTATCAATATCCAACCAGCTTCAAGCTATCATTTCAAATAAGATATCAAAGTATCATGAAATCTACTTACATATTACTGCGTTACATAGCACATACTATTGACTTTGATGTTAAGTGAATCTGCTACTTTCTCATCAGCCTCATACTTAGCCTATAGTATCCTACTTCTTTGATTTAGGAACCACCTAATAAAATACTAATAGGAGGATGTCTTAGTCTATTCAGGCTGCTCTAACAAAGTACCATAGACTGAGTGGTTTATAAGCAACAGGAATTGATTTCTCACACTTCTGGAGGCTGGAAGTCTGAGATTAGGGCGCCAGCATTGGTTGGGTTCTAGTGAAGGCCCTCTTCTGGGTTGCAGACTACTAACTTCTCATATCTTCACATAGCACTAAATTTCATTCATGAGGGCTCTCACTTCATGATCTAATCACCTCCCAAAAGCCCTACCTCCTAATACCATCACATTGGACTTCAACATATTAATTTTGAGTGGACAGAAACACTTAGTCTATTGCAAGAGTGCAGAGGAAAAAAGAAAAAGACATTTGCAGGAAGTCTAGCCTTTGTTATTGGCACCTAAGAAATACAGAGAGCCATCTCAAGAGATGATCTGAAGTTGGTGGTTGAAGAAGTTGATAGTGATTCATGATGCTTTCCTGAGCTCAGAGCTAGTGTGACTGTGACCATATACTGTTTCACAAGTTACTGCTTTTGCTGAGTCCATTCTTTCTGTCTGGCATGCTCTTTCTACTCTTCCTTGCCCTGTTCATCCTTAACAATTAGCTTAAAAGACATTATTTAGTTTTTTATGTGTAAATCATAGAGATTTGTGGTTTTATAGATATGAGAACTAAACCAAACTTTCTAGCCTACTTTTCTAATCAAATGGATTTTTAAATTTTTTTTAAAAAAGATGATCGGGGGCCGGCCCGGTGGCGCACTGCTACAGTGCGCCGTTTGGGAGCGCGGAGGCGCTCCCACCGAGGGTTCGGATCCCACATACAGACTGGTTCCTGCTCACTGGCTGAGCGAGGTGCGGGCGCGACACCAAGGGTTGCGATCCCATTGCCAGTCCTGGTCCGGTACGGGCGCAACACTGAGGGTTGCGATCGGTTGCCGGACATGAAAAAAGACCAAAAGGAAAAAAAAAAAAAAGATGATCGGTAAGGGTATCTTAACCCTTGGCTTGGTGTTGTCAGCACCATGCTCTCCCAAGTGAGCTAACTGGCCATCCCTATATAGGGATCCAAACCCGTGGCTTTGGTGTTATCAGCACCACACTCTCCCTAGTGAGCCATGGGCCAGCCATATACTGACTTTCTTATAACATTTTACCATGACCAGCAAAGTATCTTATCTTTTAGATTTAATTAACATTTAGATTTTTAACTACAATTGAAGCTAATAATGTTTAGTCTTTTTTTTTTTTTTGCAGACCACAAAGAAGTTTACTGTCATACTAAAAACATTTTAAAAATAGTAATAATCAAATTAGATTGTTATTATAATTTTTATTAGTACTATTATTAAAAATTCTATTTCATTGTATCTATCTCCTTGAACATAATACTGAATAATTTTCAAACATTTTATAGTTTCTTTTTTTTCTTTTTTTTTTTTTATGGCTGGCTGGGGCAGGATGTTTGTACAGCTTTGAATCAATGTATTTGTCATATACAGACCCAAGAAACATTTACTGACTGTCTGTCATATTGTACTAACTACAGGGTCTATAAAGGAGATTTTAATCCCCCAAATAGTGGCTACAGAGTTAGATTTTAAACATTCTGAACTCAATGGTGGCAAGGAGCATTTATTATTCAGCAGAAGCAAGAGAGGTATGAGTAATTCAGAGTCAGTTGTTCTTGGATACAGTCTTGTCCAGTTACTGGGAAAACCATTTATTACAAAAAATAAAGGCAGCCTTTGTAAGTAACTTCCCTGTCCTCCCTGTAATTTTTTTCCTTCTCACCTGTTCGGTTCAAATAACAGCAGCTTTCTGAAAAGGATTCAGTGTGCCAGCACAACTTAGCATTGTTGCACTCCTTCCAACTTTTGCCAATATTTTGGGCAAGACAAGTCTTCCTTGTGTACAAAAGTGTTCTGTTCATTTTAGGACATTTAGCATCCCTAGACAAACCCACTAAATGCCAATAGCACCTTTCTATTCATGTGACAACTGAAGGGTTCCCGCCATGCATATTTTCCAGTACCCTCCATGTCCCTGATGAGAACCTCTGGTCTAAGGCAAGTGTCTTAGTCCTTTTGTGTTGTTGTGACAGAACACCTGAGACTGGATAATTTATAAAGAACAGAGATTTATTTCTTCCAGTTCTGAAGGCTGGGAAGTCCAAGATCAAAGGGCCACATCTTTGATCTTGGACTTCATGCTGCATCATCCCATGGTGGAAGGTGGAAAAGCAAAAGAGTTGTGCAAGAATGAGAGAGCAAAAGGGGGCCAAACTCGCTTTCGCAGCAAAGCCACTTCTGTGAAAACTAGCCCCTCCTGTGATAACATTAATCCATTCAGAAGGGCAGAGCCTCATGACTTAATAATCTCTTGTTAGGCCCTACCTCTCAACATTGTGGCATTGGGGTAAGTTTCCAACACATAAACTTTGAGGGTCACATGCAAACCATAGCAGCAAGTGTGGGTATCATGGTCTTCTTTACCAAATAGTGATGCTCAGTCTTCTTGCAGGCCAAGAAGTTGGCTGGTTGAGCTGTTCTTTCTGGGACCAGAGGAAATCTGAGGCTTCTGAGGAAAATTTTTCTCCCTGTTAAGAGAGAGGCACATGAGGAGAAAGTGCTTTTCCCTTCCCTTCCCTCTTGTCTGCACAGGCTGAGAGAAGCGGTGATGTCTGCACCATTAGAAACCATCTTGTGGGGCCGGCTCATGGCTCACTTGGGAGAGTGTGATGCTGATAACACCAAGGCCACAGGTTCGGATCCCTATATAGGGATGGCCGGTTAGTTCACTTGAGAGAGCATGGTGCTGACAACACCAAGTGAAGGGTTATGATCCCCTTACTGGTCATATTTAAAAAAAAAAAAGAAACCATCTTGTGATCACAAGGCAACAAGTTGCAAAACCAAAGCAAGCTGCTATGCATGCAAAGTCAAGGATGGAAAGTCCCTGGACCCTGGATGACGTTGTTAAGTTTCCAGACTCACCCAAGGACTGCCAGTTGTTGGGCTTTTTATTAAGTAAGAAACCATCTTGTGATCACAAGGCAACAAGTTGCAAAACCAAAGCAAGCTGCTATGCATGTAAAGTCAAGGATGGAAAGTCCCTGGACCCTGGAGGACGTTGTTAAGTTTCCAGACTCACCCAAGGACTGCCAGTTGTTGGGCTTTTTATTAAGTAAAACAGAAAATGTTTTTATATTTAAAGCCATCATACACCAGGATTCCTGTTACCCATAATGAAACACTTCTAACTTACACATTTACACAACAAACAAGTTGAAGAAAATGGAAAGGTGCCGACAAAGGTTTTCCTGTGACACTTTGTTTTATTGTTGTTTTTACATTATATTATGATGTCCACAGCCCTCATTGTTTAGCAATATGATAAAGCAAAAATTTAAAAATCATTATTCATAAATTAAAGACCCATAGCTCAGGAGGCAATCCATCCAAAAAATATGTACCTACTGGCAAATTGCAAATTGCACCCTTGATAAATTGCAGATCTGTACTTCTCCCAGAGAAGAGTACTGGCCTTTAGGTATTGTCCTACTGTTGGCCATGCTGCCCATGTGTGCTACACACATCTGTTAGGAAAAATGTAAGACTTATTTCCATGGTTCTTTCCTGCCTTTAATAACCTCCTAAGAATTTTCCTCTATCCCACTCATCTGTGTCCCAGTGCTACTGGCCAAGTAGAGGTTTTCATTTTTTCTAGTGGACTAACGTAATGACCTCCTCTGCCACCCATCTTTGCTCCCTTT